GCTGAGGCCATTGCTCAGATATGGGATGCTGCTTCTGTAATTTCCTAGTCAATCACTCAGTCTCTCCTGATTGCTCAACAGGCCCCCTCTAGTGACTGTGCACTAGCTAATCCTGACAGTTCCTCTACCCACCTGGATAACACTTCTTGGTCCCATTCTGAGACTTGCAGCAAGACCTGTCCCTTAGCCTTAGCCTTCAGAACTACTAGGACTGATGACAGTAGTACCATACCAGAAAGCAAATAAAAGAGTCTTGCCTCATTTGGAAAACAGACAAACAGCTGGAAATGTGAGAAAACACAATATGGAATTTCCTCAGACTCCAACAGAGAGTCATAAGAGGAGATTTTATCTGTGTCTGACTCTAAGATGAGTTCGTGTTAGACTTGTGCACAGCAGAAATTTTCAGTTCATTTGAATACATTTGAAAATAAATTTAAATTAATCAGAAACTATTTTTTTCCATTAGTTGATTTTTTTTAAATAAAGTTTGTCAATATGTCAAAATTTTCTTTGATTTAGAAAGTTCCCAATTTGGTACCCTTATGTGGGATTCCAATATTTAAGGCTATTAATTTATGGAGCGAGCTGTGTTTAGTATATATTTCCTATTTTGTTATCCTTAAATATGATGAAACCATATTAGGGAGCTATCTCCCTAAAAGGGGTTTTATCAATGTTGATCTTTCAGCTGTTTAGTAGATAACTCTCTAAATAAAATGGGTACCCTTATGTTGGATTGACATATTTTAGGGTACCAAATTAAGGAGCTTTTTAGTAGATATAGCTCCCTTATTTAATATCATTAAATATGGGAATCCCACATGAGAATACCAAGACAGCTGAGTTGTCTACTCAGCAGCTGAAAGATCAATATTAAGACAAGCCCACATCTGAGGATCTGTCACATCAGACACCTGGGTTCTGTGCACAATACACTTCATTAGAGATTTGATGCTCCCATGTCAAGTTGGACTTGAAGGATGCCTATCTGACATTGCCCATTGCTCCCATATAGAGGGATCTTCTCTACTCTGTCTGGAGTGTCAACCTTTGGTGCTTCCCTTGCCTTTTATTTGGGCTCTCCTGAGCTCCTTGCTGCTTCATTAAGTTGATGAAGCCTGTCGCGGTCTTACTTCGCACATGGGACCTTTGTCATGTGGGCGTTGGACCTTTTCACTTGGTTGGAATTTCTAGTTAACTAAGAGAAATATTTCCTAACTGGAGTTCCTTAGTCCATTTGATGGATGAAACCCTCAACTTTCCTGCTTCAAAGCTTCAGACAATTTGCAAAAAGATCCAAAAGCCCAGCCCTCGCATTGAAATAAAGGCAATTGGTGATGTTGATTGGGCTACGGGCACCTTTCATTCAGGCTATTTTTTTGGATCTCATGCACAACAAGATGTTACAATTCTTAAAGATTGTTCACCTCTGTGAGGGTCTTTTAAGCGAATTAAGTATTTCTGGTTGGCAAAACAAAAGATGAGCTTTACTGGTGGCTTTGCAACATAGAGGTGTGAAACAGCAAAGTGATTTTTTGGATGTGGCCCTCGTTGACAATCAATTCTGATGTCGGTCTCCATGACTGCGGCTCCAGAAGTGGGGACTGGTTTCCTGGTCATCAAAGGAAGCTCGTGTTGGGACAAGTATACCTGCTGGCTTTTTAGTCTTGTTTATTTTGGCATGTTTGTTGCTGCCTTCAGTGAATTAAGCCTTCTTGTTTGGGAGTTCCGTTTATTCTGTTAGCCTTTGGTAATGTGGCTGTTGCTGATGAACTTTCGTGTTGATGGACTAGATTTTTTTCTAATTCATACAAAGAAAGGGGAAGTTGGAGGGTGGTCCTTGGGGTTTTATACTTGTTCTTACATTTGTATATGTTTCTGTTGCTTTTCTTTGCTGTTGTTGGAGAGTAAAGAAAAGGGTAATGCACAATTATCCCTGTTTCATAATGTAATATCTTCTGTATATGCTGTGGGACTTATTTCGGATAGCAGGGTAGGTTTGCAAGAAAGTTTTTTGAAATATGGCATAAATCAAATCAGAATTACATGTCTTCACTATAACCTAATAACAGTTACCTAACAGTTTAACAATTGTAAAATTATCAGTAATTAAAGGTCATTAAATCTATACAAGTGTAAGCTATGTGCACAGAGAAAATGTAGTTTTAATGCACTTACGACTTGAGTTTCTTCCTGAAAGTATTGCAAAGGGAAAAAACAAAATAAAGAACAAAGTATATAAAAAGACTGTTAAATTGGTAAGATTACTTTAGCAGGTCTAAGCTCACTAACTGAGTCTTGCATTTGAATGAAATATTCCTAAGATTCTTGTTTCTTTATAGTCTGTCCACGAAGATCAGATTGCAATTAAACTGGAAGCTTAAAGCCATGGCTGAATTTTAACTATTACATTGAGTGATATATTCTTCAAACCCTCCGTAAATATTAACCTCTCGGGGTACCACCTAATATCAGCTCTGTTCCCATTAGACTTAAAAACGGCATAATGATCTCATGAAATTCTATGACAGCTTTTCATTAAATGTTTAAATTTATGTTTAGGAATGGAATGCAAAATATAGAGGAAAACCTGGCGCTGGTCTCATGTTTCTGACAAGCTGATGAAGTCGATGTGTAGAAAAAGAAAGAACACAATATAAGTAAAAGAAAAGAACAAAACAAAAAAAATAGATGTGCTTTATCGTGAAGGTAGATTATGCAGTGCTGAGATTGCATAGATCCATGGACATTTCATTGTCAGCCTATTTAATGTGCTATTAAAAAGTTAAGAATTTAGCTTGTAATAAAACTACTATGTCTAAGTTTGTTGAGTAAGTAAATATTTGTTTGTGAAACAGAAACAGTTGAATAGAGCAGCACGATACCCGAATCAGCATGCATGTATATTAGAGAAAAAAACTTTGTCCCCCCAGCCCCATCATTGGAGGCAAGTGTGGTGTATTACATTAATTATAACCCAGGAGGAACCTAATTTCTCCCCCAGCCTCCACCAATAGGCAGTGGGTGGGGGGCAAGGGGCATTAAATTAATATGGAAGAGAGTGGTGGAGATGGGAGGAAGTTAAATTAGACTTTTTAGAGTGCTCTGATTAGTTGACTTACAAGTGAACCAATCAGTGCTCTCTGACTGAGGTTCCATAGCATGAGAAAGCCCTTTTTTTCTGTTTTGTTTTTAATAGTTGTGTCAAGGTATTATGGATTTTGGTGGACCTTTTTGGGTGCTAAGGAAAAGACAATTTAAGAAAATAAAACACATTGGATGGTAAGTATTGCATACACGTTTTTTTTTTTTTCTGAGCCCCCCACCCCTAACCCTCCCTCCCACCACACATGTCCAGGTTTCACAGTGTTTTGGAAAGTTACAGAGTCAAATATAAGACTTGCCTATTTCCATGTTTGCACAATGAAATGTACCAGGTTGGTTATGTTGTCTTTGAAAGCATGTGTGTTGGATTTTTTTGACAGGTGGTGCCCAGGAGGAAGTAGTAAGCCAAATGCGAGGTACCAAATAGGGATGAGACAATCTTGTAGTCAGGAAAAAAACGAGGTCATTGTCAGGCAGCGCTGGTTCAGGAAAGGTATAACAGGCAGGTAGATTAAGAGTCAGATGATAACACGATTCATAGAAGTGTACACACCAAATAGCACAGTATAACGTAGCACTGAGGTAAGGGTAGACTGAGATTATATAGGAGAGAGGTATCCACCTCTCACATACTATTGGCTAAAAAGTGATTAGTCTCTTTAAATTATTTCAGGTGTTCTGTCCGTTTAAAAGGCCGGCTTTCGGGCTGTGGTACCAAGTCCATGTGCCGCAGGGATGTTGGCTGTTTGTCCTTGCATCTGAGTATGCCGGACTCTTCAACATGTGGTGAGGGGGAACCGCCACAGCCGCAGATGCGGAAGGCACCTGCAGATAAGTGTAACTGGGACAATATGCCAGCCCAAGAATGGATGCATACCATTTGAAAAAGTAAAACACCCAGGGTATTAAAAACAGGGTTATGTCCAGTCTTTTTTAGTAGCCACGCTGACCAAACAGGTAATTTAACAGGTTCCTTTAAAAACAGGCAATTTAACTGGACTAATGTGAGATAAATGTTGTTGAAAGTTGCAAAAGTCAGATGCCGATACTAATGTTTATTAGTTGATATATCAATGAATGAATGCCTTTCCATAGATTATGCACAGAATTAACATTAGCAAGCCGACAATTCTTATTTCTGTCTGGTTAAAGAACATTGTTTTAGGTGGAGTTGCACCTCCAGTAGCTGCAATATATCACCATCTGTACTGGTTCTGGTACCATGATCACTTAAAAATACTGAAGTGGCCATGGTGCTTGAAATAACCCTTAAAACTAATATAAAATATAAACAAACTAATAAAAAAAATATACTGTGCAAGTTATTTAACTCCATTGCAGTAAAGGGTTGATGATGTAGTCTTTAGTCTAGTATAAAGACAGCACATATATTTTCCAATGGGGCTCTTTCTTTCTAAAGACACATCCTCATTCATTGGTTTGTTTTTTAGTCTCTGCAGTCTCGTATACACATTTAAACAATATATAACCTTTTGGTCTAGCAATCATGTCAGTGATAGATTTAATGTGATTTGCTTCTAATTTATGTTGTTTAGACTGTTTAGAATTTGATTTTTAAATTAGCCCCCCTTTATTACAAATTGCATATTATTTTTTTAAATAATGGAGAATGTGTCTCATCAAATTCACATTTATATTTTCCATTAGTAAAATGAAGCAAAGCAGAGAATTCTTGAGTGATTAAGAAAAATTACATCCATATAGAATGACCTTTTAGAAATATTTAGTTTTTAAAGTGAAAACATATGTCCACAATCTGTTTTTGTTTTTTTTAATGAATGCGTTAATTATTTTATGAATTATTTCCCCCACGTGAAATATAGTTTCAATGTATGATGGTAAGTTGCCAATATTTTAAACTACTTGTATAGATGAACACACAGACAGAAGTCCTAGTCTTGGAATCCAAGATTTCCTCATAGCATCTTGGGTTCCAAGACTAGGACTTCTGTCTGTGTGTTCATCTATACAAGTAGTTTAAAACAGGAACCAGTTTGATGCATGTCACTTAAGATGGTCATTTTTAGAAGAAAAATCCAATGAAATCCAATGAATAAAAATTTACCCTATCATGGCATACCATTTGAAAAAAGTAGGCAACCCAGGATTTTCAAAATGTGGTATGTCCAGTCTTTTTTAGTAGACAGTCACAAACACTGGCCAAAGTCAGCGTTTATATTTGTTTCTTTGTATTTTTCACACAGAAACTGTACTTTCACTGATTATATCATCAGCATTATACATTTTACTGCTCTAAAGCACTCACATTTGTGTTCAGTAACGTCTCAGAGTACAACACAATTTTTTAATGAACAGCACATAAAAACATAATGAGACTTGAATAAGGCTGCTATAGTACTGAAAGTACTGTAATAATGTAATATGAGTTAAACGGATAAAGAAAAAAAAGAGACAGGACCTCTAAATAATCAGTGTGAAATCTAGTGAATGACCTATTGTACAATATAATGGTAATGCCCAGTAACATTCAATAAATATGCAAGAACACACAGCCTCACTTTAACCAGCCAAATGGTAGACAAATACAGCAATCAGTCTCTAAAAGTAAAAATTAATTTGAATGCTAAACCAGCAATTTCAACCTATTTCGTCAACCTCATTTCATTTTGCATGTATTAAGGTTCGATGAGACGCGCAGGTCTCCACTGCATGGTATGACAAAAGATAACAGATCGGGCTCGCAGTCCCCCATCATAGAAGGACTCGCAGGTCCCCATTTTCTGGTGTTATGCGTATCCCGGAATATAAGTTAAGTTACATTTTTATAAACTGGGTGAACAATATGCAAGGTAACCGTCCTTGAACTAGGTTAATTAGCCCTTGATAAGGTGTCAGTGTTTGTGAAGTGAGCTCCGTTCTCTGTGCCGTTTGTACACGTAGGAACTGTAGTGTATGCGTTGTGTCCCTTCTACTGTGTTTGAGTTCCGTCTATGTGTCGCCGTTCCCCTGCTATCTTGTCTGGTCACACAGTGTAGTAGGGGCTCATTCTACGTGGGAGCCTGGGAAAGTAGGCCTCCCCTATGGTCTCTGTCGTCGGGTATCTCATAGAGCCCTGTGTCTCTAGCCGTGCGGTATTGTCCGTGTTGGGTTTGTGTTTTCCCCGCTGTTACTATCAGTATTTCCCGTATTTAACCAGGGATATGGTGATATTGCGGGCAGGAGGTACCCTTTTGTTGGGTGTGTGGTTGCGGCATCAGCCGTGTCATTGCCGGGCCTGTCCAGGATTATCACAGTTGTTCGTGTGATTTGGCTTTGGGGTGTCTGGGACTGGTCTGAAAGTGTGTACCAGTTTGTGTATGTTGTCGTTCCAGATTATGGTATCCCTTGTTGCTGTGGGTACGGTGGGGATGATCCAAGCAATGATAATGCTCGGGTTATTCAAGGGAAGAGGGGGGATGCGTCGGGGTGGGAAAAAAGGGGGATGGTTCCGTTCAGTTCGTCTGTCGGCCATCTAGGGTCGTCTGAAGTGTGTGTTCTGAGTTCAATCTGTCTGTGTCATGGTGTCCGTCAGTGTTAGGTCTGAGTTCTAATTGGAATTCCTCTTTTGCCGTCTCTAGAATCCAGTGCGTCCAAGTGCTCATGTAGGTAGTGGGTGTAGTATTGGCCGTCATGGTCAGTTCCTCTATCGTCCTGAGTTCCTCCATTTGGCTAAACCAGGTCGAAAGTGGGGGTGTCACTGTTTGTTTCCAGAATTGGGGGAGCACTCGTTTGGCCACGTTAAGTATTCTAATGGTCATGGATTTTTTGTATTTGGATCGGGGAACTGTTGTGTGGTGTAGGAGCATCGCTGCCGGTTCCAGGGGGGGGGGGTGCGTCCGCGAACTTCTCTAGCATTTTGTGTATCCTCTTCCAGTATGGTTGGATCAACGCGCAATCCCACCAGATGTGTTTTGTGGTGCCCACCTCTCGTTCACATCTCCAGCAGAGTCTGGAGTGGTCTGGGTTTACGTGGTGAAGGAGATGTGGTGTCCTATACCAATGTGTTAGAAGCTTGTAGGCCGTTTCCTGTGTTTTGCTGTGAGTGGAACAGTGGTGTGTAAGGTAGCAGATGGATTCCCATTCTGCTTCTGTAAGCGTGTTACCCAGGGCGGCCTCCCATTTTCCCATGAAGAGGGGTATCTTGGACGGGGTTTCTGATTGGAGCATGGAGTATAGGAAGGACACTCCGTGTGGGAGCGGGTCTGGGTGTGAGCTGACCACTTCTATTGTGGTCCGGTCTCTGGCGAGTGCTGGTCCCTGTGGCAGGGAGTGGACATAGTTGGTCAGTTGGGCATGCCGAAAGTGGTGCATAAAGGTCGGGGGCGTCTCTCCCATCATGTCCGTTAGCGTTTTACATTTCCCTCCTTGGAGGAGGTGGTGTAGGCGTGGGGATCTGTCCGGGAGGATGTGTTTGAGGGCTCTTGGGTCTAATCCCGGAGGGAAGTCCTCGTTGTGTGTCAGAGGTAGGAGGGGGGAGGGGTATTCCCCTTCTTCGCGGCCCTCTTCCACACTCTCATGGTGTGTCTCATGTATATGGACATGTCGCCCCTGTTGGTTGTGTCTCGGCCCCAGGGAAGGCCCGAGATCGGTCTGCCTGCTTCTGCCTCTTCCACCGTCTTCCATAGTTTGTGTACTCCGTCCTTAGACCATTCCATGATTCTCTGTAGGTGTGTGGCCACGTAGTACTGGTGGAAGTCTGGGAGGGCTAGTCCCCCTTTGTCTTTAGGACATGTCAGTGTGGAGAATTTCACTCTAGGCTTCCCCCCGTTCCATACGTATTTTATCATTTCTTTTCTGAGTGTGTTGAAGAAGGGGCCCGGTATGACGATGGGAATGGCCTGGAAAAGGTATAAAAGGCGCGGAAGAAAGTTCATTTTTATGACCTGTACTCTCCCGAGCCACGATATGTGCGGGTAGGACCATTCCCTCAAGTCTCTTTGGAACGTGTGCAGTATATCAGCGAAGTTGTCCCTATACAGGTCTCTGCTCTGCCTGGTCAGCCATATTCCCAAGTACCTAATTTTATGTTCAGCCCATTGGAAGGGGAAACTGCGTCGTAGAGGGTCTGCGCGTGTGGCGGGGATGCTAACATTAAGGATGTAGGATTTACCGTAGTTAATTTTTAGGTTCGATATGTCGCCAAATGTCCGCAGGTCTTTCTGGATGTTTGGAAGGGTGATTTCGGGGTTGGTCACCACGAAAAGTAGGTCGTCCGCGTACGCCGCTACCTTGTGGTGTACTTGGCCTGTCGTCAGGCCTGTTATGTCTGGGTTGTGTCAAATGTGTGCGAGGAATGGTTCTAGGGTGAGAGCAAACAGAAGCGGGGATAGGGGGCACCCCTGTCGCGTGCCGTTATGTATGGTAAAAGCCTCAGTCAGCGCCCCGTTAACTAGCACCTGGGCCATTGGTTCTCAGTGTAGCGCCTCTATCCAGTGTCGCGTGTGTGGTCCCAGCCCCATGTGGGCTAGCGTTTCGAAGAGCTAGTCCCAGCTCACTCTATCGAAGGCCTTCTCTGCATCCGTGGACAACAAGAGAAGCCTCCGTCTGTGCCCCTACCTCCGTGCATGAGGGTGAGCGCTCTGATTGTGTTGTCGCGTGCCTCGCATCCTGTCACAAATCACACCTGGTCAGGGTGGACCAGAGATGGGATATGCTTGGTGAGACGCACCGCCAGGATCTTGGCCAGTAGCTTAATGTCGCAAATGATAAGCGATATTGGCCTGTAGTTCCCGCAATGCTCTCTGTCTTTGCCATCCTTGGGTATGATGGTGATATGGGCTGTTAAGGCCTGTGTAGGGATGTGATTCCAGTCTCGTATCGCGTTGAATGCTTCCACCATGGGTGGGTAGAGGTCCTCGGCGTAAGTCTTATAGTATTTTGCCGGTAAGCCGTGTTATTGTCTCTTTAAATAATCCTGTTCTTTTACTTGAAGATCACAGGTCCACTGACAATAAACAGTATTTAAAGTCACACTAAAGCACTGTAACTTGTTGAAAAGCTTTATGTATGAAGAGCATCCTCTTTTTTTCATTTTGCAACAAATACAGATCCCAATGGAAATTAAGACTTTTATAAATTATACTGGTTACACCTCGGGACAACACATCCTGATACTTCCTGGTTTGGTTTAAACTGCATTGGGAAGTCTGTGAATGGACAGCCACAGACAGTCTGGGTGGGTTAGAAGAGGAGGGCTTGCAGAGACAGTGGACAAGAGATCTGCAGTTTTTGCAAGCAGTTTTTAGATATAACTCCAAAGAAAAAAAAATCATAATTAAATGCATGCAAGTTTTCCTTTGGGATATATATACTAAACAATGAGTCTTAAGTCCACCCTGTCAGTGGACTTGTGCACTCTTAATGAGCTAACACCAGCCTGTTATGCTCGTGTGCCTTGCATGTTTCTATTAACTCATTTTTCAGGTCTTAGAATCTTCTGCTCAACTTAAAACTGATTTTCCACTTACCTCACCAGGAATTCCTATAGAATCTACAAACTTTACCTTGTTTCCTGCATTTCTCCATTGGACTTCAAATATTTCCAACTCAGCTGCTGAAAACTAAATGAACTCTCTTTTTTGCATTCAGCTACAGCCAGCCAGCGAGTTTACCTGCCTGTATATTTGTTTTTTCCCCATGGTAACTGATTTCTTCTGGAATCGCTGACTAGCCTCAAAACTTAGGTAAATTCCCATTTTCTGTTACCTTCTTACATTTGAAGAATCTGCTATAAAATGTATTTTCCTACTACTAATTGGCTAATTAATTTACAAAGTGCAGCAAACTATTTTATTTACCAAGGACTGCTTTTTTTTTTTGCTTTCTATTGTTCACAATGTTGCTGTCTGATTTTAAAAAAAACTTTAATGTTTATGTTTTCTCATTTTTGCCAATAAAATTTTCTGCACGTTGATATTTTCTTGCTTGATCTGTAAGCAACAGAAATAAACATGGCAAT